GGGCGGTGCTGGGGTGCTGCCAGCCCGCTGCTGCCGCTGTGTGCGGCAGCGTGGCCACGACCGGCCCTTGCCGGCCGTTTGGCGACTTCCTCCGGCAACTTCAACATGAATAAACATGACATGACCTAACTTGATCATAGGTACAGAATTTACTCACAAATCATGCACCTTGCTCGATAAAGTGCCGTAGTGTGCGCTACGGGTGCTACCATCGGCTTAAGGCCAATCCTCGGCCAAACTTCAACTTCCCTCGACCATTAAAGCTTGAATGATCATAAAATAATATATAATGATCAACTATACCTGACTTACTCGAACAAACATGATTATATTGCAAAGTAACATGATAGGGCATGAACTAGCCCCGTGCGCGTGCGCTACATGCGCAGCTCGCTTCTTTAGGTCAAATCATGGGCAATACTACAACTTGTCTCGACCTATCTTTTTAGACTGAACATATACTGACCCAACATGCTTAAATAAACATGAATTGCTCGGTGTTATTCGTATAAAACTAAACATCACTCGGTCATGATCTATATGGCCAAAACTGAACCCTTTATGACATTTTCTTGCATCTCTTGACATGAACTCATTAAACTGATTTGAACATGATACTACTAACATGAAAGGATGTGGTACATGAATTTACCTTCTTAAATGTTCGGCTGAAACCTCACGAACGGACGTGATCCCTCACTACCGTGCGTGTACGAGCTTTTCCTCGGCTTTGGCTAACCTTGGCTATTTTTCTATGATTTTTCTTTAATTATTTCCTTACTATTTTCCTCTCTATTGTATGCTGAAGTTCGGCTCTCTTTTGTGCATGAAAAATGCATGAAGGAAACGTGCGTGCTCGGTTATTTAAAGAAAAGACTAGTTCGTTGGGAACATGAGTCAAAGGAGGTGATGGATGACATTTTCTCCTTTGATGACATGTGTCTAGGTCGTGGCTGAGGTGTTGTGTGCCTGGCTTAGTCATCGGTAGATGTGGCGTGCATGCACGGGCTTAGTCATCGCCCGTGCGCTCGTGCGGTGCCAAGTGTGCGAGCAAGCAGGTGACTCACTGCACCACTTGCACACCGAGACTTATCCGTACTTGGGAGCTTACCTTTAATCATGGTACTTAAAGAAGTAAAGCATGTGCTTAAGAAGGCTTAGTGTGCACTATGCACGATTGCGTGCGCGCATACACGCGCGACTATGTACAACATGCGTGCGTGCGTGTAGTTTAAGACGTAAGCCTAAGCATAGGACTTAAGTAGGCTTAAACATGGATTAACACTAAATAAACACGATTATCCTTAAGCATGATTAAAATTAAACTAATCGTGATTAATGTTAATTAATCATCATTAATATTAAACTAATCATGATTATAAGCTAATTATGATTAATTAACTTAAACATGGATTAAGTTAATTAAGCAAGGACTAATGACCATTGCTTAATTAATGATGGACGGTGTACCAATGTGAACGCGTCGCTGTATAAGAATGACGACGTCCATATTTGGTAACCTTAACCGAACGTACTCGTTTTCAGTTACAACTTGACCTCGGAACTTAATTCGGACATCCTTGACTTAGACGATTAATCCGAACATTAATATTTCGAATAGTTCGTCAACTTGGCTTATTAATTCCGAACTCATTAACTAATTAAATGAATCAAAATTAAATCTGAAAACTCATTCGGTTATCAACCGAATAACATATCGACT